GACCTGCTTGGCCCAGAGTGTGTAAACATGGTCTTGCTGTTTGAGAGCTTTTTCTCTCAAACCTACCTCTTATCCTAGGCCCGCCCTGTTGTGGATTTGGTCTAACACTTGTGTTATGTTAATTAGGTTCACAAAATTGCATGGGAATCAGTACTTATGACTCTGAGGGTTCCTGCTCCCAGTTGGTTTTGATTGGAAAATAAAGTTGCTGGCGGCCAATGGTTGGGCAGGGAGACACAATGGGGACTTAAGGATTCCTGGGCAAGAGACCCAGGGAGGAGGGAGGTAGATCCACCATGCTGGGAAAGGAATAGCTGCCACTCCTGAGAAGAAAAGGACAGACAGACAGCCAACATATAAGAGCCAGGAAGAGCAGCCCCATGCTGACCTCCATTCCCACACTGGGTCTAGGGCAACAAAGATGGAATATAGATTTTAGTAAGTTATAACTCAGGAATATCGGAGGGAAACCCGATATTAACCACCTGGAGGTCTGGGAGTGGCCCAAGCATTAAGCTGTTTAGTTGTTTAAGACATATTAAAATATAAAGCTGTGTGTGAGTGTGTATGTGTGTGTTTCATTTAGGAACCCAGAACACTGGGGCAGGTAGTGAGGAACGTGCTGCTGCCACCGGGTCGATCTAAGTAGAGGTTAATTGGCAGCTGCAACACCGCCCTTTCTGGCTTTGGCTCTTCTTCCAGGACTCTACTGAGGTAAATGGCAACTCTCCCATTCCTTGGCTTTCTGAGAAGGGACGAGCACATTTCAAGCAAAGAGTAGCTTCAAAGCAGGATTCTAGGGGTCTGACATCACTATTTTTCGGAAAACTAGCAAGGCAAACCCTCTGGTCCTCCACTGTGCCGTCTCCTGGCATGCATTCCCAGCATGCACTCTGTTACTCTAGCATCTTATATATAGCCATCCCATGCAGGAACCTTGTGCCCAGAAAACAAAAGCAACAAATATCTCATTCACCTCAGGAAATTTCAGAATCACTTAAAGGAGGTGTCAGACTGCTTAAAAAAAAAAATTGCTAAAACTCTTTTGAATCCTTTGCCCCTGGTGGGCTCCCTTACCGTCTGCGCCCATCCTCGTTTGTTTTTCCGAGACAGGGTTTCTCTGTGGAGCCTTGGCTGTCCTGGAACTCACTCTGTAGACCAGGCTGGCCTAGAACTCAGAGATCCCTCTGCCTCCCCAGTGCTGGGATTAAAGGTGTGAGTCACCACCAGCACATGTCCAGTTCACCCATCTTAACTGCACTGTAATCACCCTGTCTTGGCCAAGGCTTTCTGTCTGCATGGAAAACCCTGCCTAAAATCCAGACTCTGCAGCCTCAGAGGAAACTCTCTACAAGAAGGGCGAGGGAGGCTTTTCTGTCGGCCAGCAAGTCAAAAGTCCTAAAAGCTGGTTGACAGGAAAGGCCTGTGTGCAGGGGGGCATTTAATAGCATTTAATAGCAAAACACTTAAGAGTTCAAGAAACAGGGACCATGTGAGTTCCAGCAAGCTCTTAGCACAGCCCCTTCATTTTGCAGCTGGGAACCAAGGCTAAGAGAGGGGCAGGGATTTCTGGAAATCACACAGCCGCTAAGAAGGCACCAAGAGATAAACACAGTAAAAGCCATGATGAGCCTGGTACCCACTGAGCGCCCTCTGTGCCTCTTCAATAAAAAACTGTGGTGCATCTGGCTTGACAAGTCAAAGTAAATTCAAGTTGGCCAATTTAACCTTAAAAACCAAGGTCTGAACCCAGAACATCAGCTCTCCAGCTGGGACATTAAAGCCACCAGGAGGATTGATTTGGGCAGCATCAGTCTGAGCTTCAGACCTGCATCTGGAGTGAGCGGCGTCGCTGCACTTTTTAACCAGCATCCAGCTCTCCCAGTCCAGACTCTGCTCACAGAACCAGGGACCCGGGAGGAGTGGGTCCCTCCGTCTGGCACAAGTAGGGGCCCACTGTGAGCTGTTCATCCTTCTATAGTACATCCCCTCCAGGCCCATGTCTACCCCATTGCTCAGCAGGGCACTGCTGTAGGCTGTCCATTCTGTGTGCCTGCCCCAAGGCTGCTTTCTTCACCTTATGGTTTTGAGAATTCTTCCCCTGGGGAAGATGTAAACAATCTCTACCTCTCCACCAGTGTCAAACCAAAGTCTGATCCCGCTAAGGTTAAATCTGGGGAACCAATGCCTATTGGGTTTCTTTACAGAGCATGGTTGACAAGTTGTTTATAGGAATGTGGGTGACCTCTCCCACCTCCCCCCCAAAAAAAGCCTCACTGGCAAGCAAGCCCTCACCCAGCACGGATAATGGCTTCCTTGTAGCCACATAGGTGGAGGCTCTCCAATAACATTCTCTAGCCTATATACTTGTATACAAATGGCTGGGAAAGTGGCTAGCATCTCACACTGTGGGTCTGATGAACTTCCTCACCAACTCCTTCTCTGAGGGAACGCCCCCAGGCCACAGCTTGCTCCTAAAAGACTCAGGCAGGCAGGCAGGCCAACTGATCTCGTGACCATAGCAGCTGTCGTTCAGAGAACCAAGCTCTCTGTAACTCAAGCTTCCTGCAAGAGAGGCAGTTTCCCTTACAGGTGGGCAGGTGACACCGAGCCCTAATTCCTGGGAGTCTGTACTGGGTGAATAAATCAAATACTACACATATACACTCAGAAAGGGAAAGAAAAAAAAAAAAGAAAGCATACACCCAGCACTGGCAGATGAGATGAACACAGCCTTTTATTGCAGACCGAAGCGGCGGGCTTCTTCACACTGTGAGCCTGGATCTGGAGGGTTCTGACTGCCCATGCTTGCCCATGGGCAAGGATCATAACGTCTAGGCAGCATAGAGAACAACTTCCGGGAACAACCCCAGTTGGCATGCAGGGATAACCAGAGGTACGGTGGGAAGATAGGGCACGCCTAATCATCACCTGGTGATCACGATCGCGACCATTGTAGACCCAAAGATGGGGAACAGATCTGAGATGCAGGGGTCTCCCAGTGCTCGGTTAGGGGATCTGAGATGCAGGGGTCTCCTAGTGCTCAGTTAGGGGAGGCTGAGCATATATTCACATCCATGGACATGGAGGAGGGGACAACCCTCACTCTGTACATGACTGTGTCATCCAGGACCTCTGCTGACGCTCAAACTGTGACTTTCCTGGAAGAATCAGCTACAGTTCTTGCTGGGACACAGCTCCGACTCGGAAAGCCAGTGTGAGGTCTGAGACCCTGCATTTTAGTTTCCCCTTTACTGAAATGGGGTCTCACACAGCCCAGGGACTCTTGACTCTAGGCTAAGGTTGGCCTAGAACTCCTGACCTTTCTGCTCCTACTTTCAGAGGGTTGGGTTTCTCAGTGGGTACCACTATGCCTGACACTCTTCTTTTCTCCTTTTACTTTGTCTGCTGCTGGTGTGCTGGGATAGGCTCTCATTACACAGCATAGGTTGGCCTCACCCCCAGAATCCTATAGTCTTAGCCCCATCAGGTGCTGTGTCCCAGGTGTACATCCCTGGAGGCTGCATTCTAGCAAGCTGATGTTAGCCTATCAACACAAGCATCGTTAGGCTCTTACATCTCTCTTCTTCGACAAGGTAAACCCCCCAACTCAGGAGTACAGGGTAGAAGGGAGGAGCCAGTCCAGTCTGGTTGCACGGAATCTTTGCTTGGGCCCTGTGTCTACCTCCTCATCTGGCCACTGGCCTTGGGATGAGAGCGGATTGGGCAAGGTTTATCTTTTAGGATACACAGTCATGATACCAGCAGTGCTCCCACGGCACCCTTATCAAGAGCCAGGAACACTTTGAAGAAGCCAGGGACCCGGACAAACTCCGTGGTGGGTTTTTGTTCTGAACAACAGTTTGAGTTCTAAACAGCAAAATGTTGGAGACAAAGCGGCCTAGCCCTGCCTGTATCCTGGGGCTTCCACAGACCTACACAAAGGTGCAGACCAGCCAGGGTGGGGGGTGGGGCAGCTGATAGGCCTGCTGTTCGGGTGAGGAGGTAGACACACAGAGATTGAGAGGGTCAGGGATATCCCCAACCACAGGCCTTATCAGGAGGCAAGAGCCCAGCTACCTCCTGGGAAATGCTAGTTTTGGGCACACTGGGACAGCTGGTACCCCCTAGACCACAGGCAAAGGTCTTCAAGATAGCAGATCATTATGGTGATAGCCTTGAGGTCGGTGGTACTGGGCCAGGACAAGGCAACCAGGTTGTCATCAGAGGGAGGTCACAAGAGGAAGGCCATGGTGAAGGAGGTCACTTAAGGACCCAGGGTGACAGTCACAGGTGTAGATGGACCTGTCTTCTCTGGGCCACCTCTCCTGTGGCCCTGAAGATAATGCCTGCCCATGCCAGACCATTCTCAGGGAGGGGCAGAAGGGAGCGTGTAGAAAGTCCTCCACACAATGTCTGGGGACAAGGAGGAATGAGCCACCAGGAGCTGCCCCTCTGTACCCTTGCCAGATGTCCAAGGATTGCTTCATAAACACTCCTGCCACAGGGCCCAACCAGTGTCTAGGCATTCCAATGCCTGGTTCAGGCTCTGACCAGTCCAGGGACCCTGATGGCCAGGACATGGCACCATGATAGGGTGTCACTGTGTTCGGTCCTCAGAAGGCAATAAATGCATGAAGGAGGTCTCCTCTCAGGATGGTGATTGGCTCACACACTAGAAACAAGGCTTCAAATCATAAGGTCCATAAAATGCCCAGCAAGGCTCATCCATCCACGAGCTTAGAGGGTGTCCGACGACGTGGGGACAGAACCTTTGAGGGGTCCCATGCAGGAAAAGCTTGCCACTATTTTTCCTCCTCCCAAGTATCCAAGCCCAGAGAGAGCAAGAGACCTACCCAAGTCAGCACAGCAGTTGTGAGGGTCCTGAGCCTCACCTCCCTCCTCCCTCTGGAGCTAAGCTATCCACCCTGGCTTAGCTGTGCCCCCTCCCTCTGTATGCTGCCTGGCCCACCCACCCCGCTCCCCAAGCTTGGCTTCCCATGGGCCTCCCTCCTCTCAGGGTGGCAGGCCAGTATCCTTTGTCCCTGGCTGGGTGAGTACAAGGAGTGTGTCCTAAGGCAGCGGGGCCTGGGTATCCTCTGGAGACATGAGCATATCAAACTTGATGAGTGGTGGGGCAATCACACGCACCTCGGCGCTCAGGGGGTTGAGACGCAGGTTGATGACGCGCAGAGCTGGCATGGCGGCCAGCTTCTCCACCGGAACATCTGCTGGGAACAGAGGGGACAGGTTAGAGGGATAGGAACTGTGGGACCCTGAAAGGTAGCCTGGTCCCCAGTTGAGCTAAGGCTAAAAGCCCCGGAGACCCTGAAGGGATGGTAGGTGCTTTGCCTGTTCCTGGGTACCAGGTCCCTGTCACTAGCCTCAGACCCCCATAGATTTGTGGCCATCAGTCATGGAAGGGCAACGCCCCAAGCTCCTCTACTAGTAGAGGACATGACCTATGGTCAAGACAGATCTCCATTTTAATGAGGTACCTAAAGGCCTGAAGGGCTTAGCCAATAAGCTTTCCTTTCCAGACACCCCTCCCTGCAAAAGGTATTTAATCTCAGGCCCACCCTGAGAACTGGGGTATGGTTTTACACATCCACTTTCCACCAAGACAATAAATGCCTTAAAACCGTGAACTGTCTCTTTTCATCAGGATCCACCATGGGGAGCCATGGAGAAGGCCTTTGCCTATAGAGTCGCCGTCTAATCTCCTGTAGAAAGCCTCTCTGTGCTCCCAGACATGACCAAGCCAAGCTCAAGCCCACTGCCATCATCAAGCCAAGGACTCCCCCACCCCTGGTACCAGCCAGAGATTCCCCTTCCCCCACCCCATCCCTGGGCCAGATCCATCCCACAGGTCCCCACTCCATTCTCATCTCTTCCGTGGCATCCAGCGGTGCCTGAGAACCAGCTGCCTCCTTACAGGCCTGGGGATGCAGAGCCAGCTCCTGCTGTCCTGCACCTCAGACTGGGCTTCCCCACCCCTGGAGCAGTGTCCAGGGCTTCCCTACAGCCCAACACCCGCCCAGAGACAGCATGGGGTAAACATGGTCAACTCCCGTGTCCTGCCTCCCTGGGGAGCTGAGCCCTGTGGTGTAGCAGACTCGGGACCCACAACCCTACAAGGAACTGGTTGGCTGGGAAGGAAGATGGAACGGGAAGACTTGGAGCATACAGAGCTGGGAGTGATGTTCATGGACCACCATGAATGGACTCAGCTCAGGGGTCCTATCCCTGAGGGAGGGGCCTTCAGAGCCTCACCAGAACACTAAAGCCACAGGTAGCTGTATAAACGAGGACCCAGGTTGGGGATGGTTGAACATTCCTGTAATCCAAGCACTCGGGAAGTAGTGCCTAGAAGATCAGGGGTTCAAGGTCATCCTCTACTACATAGTGAGTCTGAGGGTAGCCTGGGCTACACAAGACCTTGTTTCAAAAACAGCAAACAGTTATATAGAGGGGATTGGATCAGGTATCTGAAGGACAGAATCACCGCAGAAGCCACAATCTTGCCCTTATGTAGGCTCAAGTGAATGAAAGACAGGTACTTAAATCCTGCTGCATGAAGAAAACAGGAGAGCTGACCACAGCAGCCTAGAAACACACAGAGGAGCGTGTGAGTGAGAAGGAGTCGCAGTCTGCTGTCAAAAGGAGCAACATTCAGACACGTGCTTTAACACGCATCAACTCTGCAAATCCAGTGCTGCTGAACAGGGGTGGGGGCAGGGTGGGCACGGAGGTCCACTCGGCAATGACAACAGTCAGGAACAACAAGCAGAGCACAGGCTCCCAGAGCTGGAAGAAGTCAGGGTGAGGCATCCATCTTAGAAGCGGATGGTGGTGGCCGCTGCACACTGTCACTGAAGCAGTCAGTGCCATCGAAGGAACACTGAAAATACGATGGCAAATTTTCTGTCATTTACAGTTGCCACCATTTTGACATTTATTTGTGAGTATGTATATATGTATGCGTGAGTATATATGTACATGAGTATATATGTACATATGAGTATATATGCATGAGTATATATATGTATGTGTGAGTATATATGTATATATGCATGTGAGTATATATATGTGAATATATATGTATATATGTGAGTATATATGTATGTGAGTATATATGTACATGAGTATATATACGTATGTGGATGTATATATAGGTATGAGTATATATGTATATATGTGAGTGTATATGTATATGTGTGAGTATATATGTATATGTGTGAGTATATATGCATAT